TTCTTCGATCTTTTTATTCACTAAATATTTATTTTCTATTTTTTTATCTAAAATTTGTTCTTGCTTTTGGGATTAGGCTTGTAATTCATGTTCAACCCGTGGATTTGAGATTATTGGTATTTTCTTTTCTCTTCTGTTTAACTCATGAATAATGGTTGAATTTGGAGAATTGATTATGATTGTTGAATTTGATTTACGTAGCTAATTTCTGTCGCTAGGGATAGGGAAATGATTGTTCTTGTTTGAATTGTATTTTGTCGGGCTTCGATTCGTTCATACTTATGTGTGTTGTTTGGATAATGAATTGATGAATTTATATTCGATAGATTGATATAATCGAAAAGTGACATTTGCTATTGGTGACAGTTGGATATTAATTTGTCGAGTTAGGGTTTGTCAATTCTATATGATTAGTTGATTAAACACCTTCTAATTGACTTAGCGGCTTTCAGAACCGAAAGGGGAGAAGTCGTAGAAATAGGCTCACATGAGGTAGATGATTTCGTAATTTAATAGTCTATGTGTTTTAGATTGAAATACGTGCTTGTCGATGACCCGTCCCTTGTTATGAAAAGTTATTGAGATTGAGATAATTGGCCTGTATTGTATACTCGAACTTCTTCGTCTATGTTCAATCCCTTGTTATGAAGAGTTGTTGGGAGCGAACCGCTAGATGTAAAAGCGAGAGTGTCAATCTCGAATTGAACAATTGATAGCCCGACTTTGCTAGAACTTGAATTAATTATCCCAGATTCCCTGGCTTCTCCATCTTCGTTTCATTCATATTCTTAGGTAGATTTACATTTTTGCATTGTTATTTATTTCGTAGCTTATAATTCATCCAATCTTTATCTAATTAGAGTGTTTAGGTTTTATTTTGCTTTTGTGTGTGATCGATACCATTTCTAAATTCCGAACAGCCTTCCTTGTGAGATCGACCTGGGGAACGAATCTTTTGATTCGGTACTCGGTAAAAAGAATAATTTGTACACAACAGTTTAAATGAAGGACATTAATACAATGTATATATTTATCTAATGTATATGCTTAATATAAATACACTAAATCAGGAGAAAACATAATGTGTATTTTTTAAACCTTTTCCTTGTCGATAGATCGACTTTTTGTTATTGCTTCAGTAGCCCTATCAATTTCGGCTAGAATTGAGTGTTGATGGGAGAGAAAGTGTCAACATCAACATTAGCATTCAACTGTAAAAAAAAATAAAAAATATAATCGATGAATTTGAAGAAATAATTCAGATTTACTGTATATATACACTATATAAACAGTATATAAACAAAAAAGGGAAAAATCACATAATATAATATATATATATATATATATATATATATATATTTTGTATATAAACATTTATATAAAAGATCTGTATATACATGGGTATTTACATCATGTTCAGTTATAGCTATATATGGTATATAAAATGTAGATATCTAGTCTATATATATTGTATAAACATTACATGTTAACTTAAACTATATATATACAATATGTAAACAAAAATTTTTTATAAGAATGATAGTTGAGATTACATACTCCGTTTGGATCATTTGCAACGTCGGTATCTTGTCCAACATTGACATCAACATCAACATTGAACTGTTAAAAAAAAGAATAAAAAATATAATCGATGAATTTGAACAAATAATTCAACATTACTGTATATATACACTATATAAACAGTATATAAACAAAAACTGGAAAAATCACACATATATATATATATATATATATTATATTTTGTATAAAAAGATTTATATAAAAGATCTGTATATACATGAGTTTTTAAATACATCATGTTCAGTTATAGCTATGTATGGTATATAAATGTAGATATCTAGTATATACACATTGTATAAACAGTACATGTTAACTTAAACTATATATATACAATATGTAAACAAAAGATAGTTATAAAAATGATAGTCGAGATTACATACTCTTTTTGGATCATGTGCCGAGTCGGTATCTTGTCCAACTTGGGCATCAACATCATCAGCATTAAACCGGTTGACTGCTTCTTCATTCTATGGGCAGTAAAAAAAATATAATCGATGAAATTGAACAAATAATTCATATTTACTGTATATATACACTACATAAACAGTGTATAAACAAAAATGATAAAATGACATAATAATGAACATGTTCAGATATAATATTAAATATATATATTGAATATAAACGTTATAAAAAATATATGTATATACACGAATATTTAAATACTACATGTTCAGTTATAGCTATATACATTATGTAAACGGTATATATCTAGCATATATACATTGTATAAACAGTACATGTTATCATATAATACATGTAGATATATATATATACAATAGGTAAACAAAAAAAATTTATAAGAATGATAGTTGAGATTACATACTCCTTTTGGATCATTTTCAACGTCAGTATCTTGTCCAACATTGGCATCAACCTCACCTTCCTGAATTTATTTAAAGCACAAAATTTGTAAAAAACAAATTATATTATCTCTGTCAAACAAAACAACTCTGGTATGACAGATAACAATGAGTGTTAAAATAAAATTTTACCTCGGGATGACATGTATCAACATCAAGGTTTGTGGCACGGCCTGTGGAATCGTTTGGAACATCGGCTGCAATGTGATTGTGCTCCAAGATTTCCACCCTTTTTAAAAAATATTTATGCAGAAAAAAAAATCAATTAAATATATGAATAAATATGGAAAAATTACAAATTTTCATTAAAGTTAAAAAAAAATTTTTTAAACAACATAAACGAACCAATATCATTTCTTTGAGCATGGCAAAGTCATTAGCACTCTTGGTTGAAAACTCCATAAACAGATTCTTTATCATTTCAAGCTCGTTGGCCATGTCTGTCTGTTTTTGTCCCATCTCATCCAATCGGTTAAGTATCTCTGATTGGATGTGCGTTGGACCATTAGATGACGAGTCGTCGTCTACGAGAAATTGATTTTTTTTCTTGAATAACCCATCTAACTGAAGATTGGATTTTTCAAACTTTGTCGGGCTCAAGTTGTTGAACTGAAAAAGTTTATGATTATCAAAAGAATCAGAAATAGTCCTTACAGTATGTTATTATAATAAAAAAATGAAAATTAGTAATATAAATTGTAAACATACCTTGTCATGTGACAAGTTCATGAAATGTCTGTCGATGAACAATCTGTTGTAGCATCCCTTCACCTCCCACTTCAACATACGTGGCATATCTTCACCAACTATACATGAGCAAATCAGATTGTCAGCTGCGTCACAAATCTCAAAAAACCAAATCTGCAGTGCTAGGATGAATCCATAGCATCTGTAAAGATAGTCATTCACATCGTCTTTTCTCGTATGCATCGCCCGACGATTGTGCAACGTCTTCTTCAGATAATGGATAGTGTATTCAAACACCTCTGTTCCCCATGGAAATTCATCACAACCGGACCTATCAATTATGTCCAAATATCGTCTATCAAGCAATAATGTGTCATGGGCACCCAGTAAAAAATTTGCTAGAAGGTGAAGCTTTGCAAGCTTCACTGCATCCTCGTCATTCTTCCATACCTTCACATAGTGTATACATATTGATGGGTTAATTGTACATATATATAGATATACATATAATATAAACAACATATAAACATAGTTTTTATTCTGCACTAACACGAAAACTGGAGCACAACAGTGTATAGTATATATAATCATAAAATAAACAGAATATAAAAATTTATGATTCTGAAAATAAGCTAAATCACATGAACATACAAAGTGAATATATATACATAATATGAATTTTGTCTAAATGTTTTCAAATGCAATACTTATAACATGAAGAAAAAACTGACGATATATATATACATAAGATAAACAACAAATAAACGGTGATGAAACAAATATAATTTAGTGACTTGTGTATTAATGTTTATACTATAGTTTAATTCATTAATAAATATATATATATTATATGATATAAAAAGTACCTTGGAGATAAATTGACTCCGTATGTAGTTCCTGGTCAATCGGAACCCAGCAAAGTATAAGAGACCGCCAGTCACTTGCTGGAAGGCTAATTTCTTGCTAGACCCAATGCATTTCATTCCGGTAATTAAGGCAAACTCTTCGATGCCAAACCGGAGCATCTTCCCAGCAAAATTGATCCAAACCTCGTCAGACCTTCGCTGGTTTACCTCACGTAACAATAGCATGTTGACCAACTGAGTCTGAAATTTACAGTGAGGTATGTTTAAGAATTTGCCAAACACAGTTTTCTTGAACATGTCCAGTTGCCCCTCGGTCAACGATTTTTTAATGTCATTTATTGCGCAATTAGCCTTGTTGTTGTCATTGCAATTCAGAATTTTGATATGCATGGGCTTCGGATTGGGTATGAGCAACTCTCATTCCTACAAATTAAATAGCAAATTAAAAAGCATAACAAATAAAAAGAATGGGGTAGGCACAATGTTTGACTACTTGTCGGTTCATATTTACGAAGTAAGATGGCTGCTTATAGAAGGTTCAAACACGATGAACAATATCGTTGTCAGACTTGGACTATAAGATCACTAAGCATAAGCAACCAATAATAAGTTCAGAAAATCTCCTCGATATTGTTCCGAGAAGTAGTACATACATTGTTATCACACATAAATGCAAGAAAACAAACAACTTCTGAAAATAATGACACACACATTAAGGGGAAAGTAACAAAAATGACTGTTGGAGAAGGGGAAAATATTATTACATTTTTCTTATAAGATCAGGCCACAAAAACTAAAAAAATCATCGACAAACAAAATAACATCAAGCATCATCAACTCATCAAAATCAGACACCAACGAACAATTATTGAGCAGACAATTAAGGGTAGCCATAACACATTTATAAGTTGTCAGACTTGGACTATAAGATCTCTAAGCATAAGCAACCAATAAGTTCAGAATATCTCCTCGATATTGTTCCGAGAAGTAGTACATACATTGTTATCACACATAAATGCAAGAAAACAAATAACTTCTGAAAATAATGACACACACATTAAGGGGAAAGTAACAAAAATGACTGTTGGAGAAGGGGAAAATATTATTACATTGTTCTTATAAGATCAGGCCACAAAAACTAAAAAAATCATCCACAAACCAAATAACATCAAGCATCATCAACTCATCAAAAATCAGACACAAACGAACAATTATTGAGCAGACAATTAAGGGTAGCCATAACACATTTACAAAATTTTCAGCTCTGAACAAAAGCAATATTTTACTTAAAACTGAAAACTTCAGTGGTTACAAATCATTCCCAATATTTATTTTCGATATAATTAAAATGACTACCTTCATCTTTCGAGTAGAATTATCGATGTCTCCTTTTGCTTGATGCTTCTTCAACTCTCTTTTCTTCGAAAAATCCCGTCGGCGCTTACGGTTTTTCGGGTCAAATTTTGGGAGGTCTGTGTCAATGTCGCTGTCATTCTTTGCTAAATCCGCACCCACTTCACTCGAATTTTATTCTTCCTCGTCATAAATATCGAAATCCAAATCAGAATGTTGTTGATTCTTTGGAGTATCAACAATTTTGGCCTCGACCCTGTTTCTTCGAACCCTCTTATTCTTCGTGCTTGGTGTCATCTTTTTCGCTTTTTGTTTCATTTGATTTTGTGAGACGGAATCATCGTCGTCGTCCGACTCATCTTCGGCGGTCTTCGGGTTAGAATTTCTGGCACGGCTAGTATGCTCTATTTTCTGAAATTGAAGTTTTTTTTGTACAATCTTTCGCTCGGGGGGTTGAAACTGGGATGAGCGACGAGATCTGGAGCGAGTAATCCTTGCTTCGTCTTCACTTTTGGAGGGTTTGCTCTCGATTTTGTTCTTCTTTGCCATTGTTCTTCACAATTTCACCGGCAAAATATGGTGCACTGTGGATGAGCGACGAGAATTTCTGGCACCGTCTTCACAATTTTTTTTTTAATTGAGATATGCATTATTTTTGGAGAGGGAGATGGACATTGAGATGGAGATTTGCAGATTTTGAGAGAGAGAGATGGAGATTTGGAGATTTTCTCGAGATTTGGTGAGAGAGGAGATTTCCAAAAATCAAGATGTAGTTAATTGCATTAACGGTTAATTACCCATTTTAATTATTAACTAATGTATTTATGATTATAAGGTTTTTAGAAGTATTTTTGTTATTATTTTCTGTTTGGAATGTAAAGTGTGTAAATTTCTCTAATTTTTCAAGGTGCAAAAATGTGGCAGGAAAGTGGGCCTAATTTTGGGCCCAATCTCGACAAGCTGCGGGATTTGTAAAGATGAAATCTAAAAAAAAAAAAGAAAAAAAAAGGGAAAAGACAAGATCTTGAAAGAACAGAGGAGGAGGTGCGGGGCTTGAACACAAAAAGGCGAGAAGCAAAATTTTTGAAGAGTGCAAAGTGTCCGACGGGCTGTTAGTCCGCGTGTTCCAACCATTCGAAAAGAAAACAAGTAGCACGGTTCCAATGTTGCCTCGCGACCCGACAAGATGTTGAGAGTTCTAGTGTTCTTCGAGGGGGCACAAAAACCTGGCGAGGTGTCGTATGCCGCGACGATTTTGGAGAAATCTCAGAGGTGCCGACGAGGAGTCCCGTGCATCGATCACAGACTCGACGAACTCACCGAACCCAGGTCATTTATGCATATAAAAAATATATATAAATTATTTGGTCGTATAACTACTAAGTTACTACTTGTTTTTGCTTAAAGAGATGATTGTGATGTTATTTCAAGATAATTCGATTTTGTTGTGTGAAGTTCTATGTTGCAGTTTAATATCCGAAAACTGTAGTCCATTGGCTGAGGATCGGGCTCACGTGGCTCGGATGACCTCACGCCAAGTCAGTCGGACAGAAAATCCTTGAGACTAGTCTTGTCCAGACGGATCTCCACCGCACTTTAAGGAACATCTAAGTCGAGGTCCCTTTGGCACTCGCTTATTTAGAGTCTTGGGACTACCCGATGAGATATTCTGCACCTCAGTTGTTTTCTTAAAAAGTTCAATATTTTCGACTCCAGGTACATATGCTCGTCTTTGTTTGTTCCAATGATCAAAGGGTAGATATCGTGTCAGGTTTTTTTGTGTTGTGAGGAAATATTAATTGCTTACATATCTTCGGTCAAGCTTTTCTGTAATGCTGAGATAAGTGCAGGGTTAGCCTAAAGCCTAGATGCGAGTTTGAAAGGATCGCTACGGAGGTTCTCGAGCCTGCGGTGATCGAGATAGGGCGAAAGCCTATTGAGGATGTCGCTCGAGCTCGCGGAGCTCAACGGTGATCGAGATAGGGCGAAAGCCAGTTGAAGATGTCGCTCGAGCTCGCGGAGCTCAGCGGTGATCGAGATAGGGCGAAAGCCTGTTGAAGATATTGATCGAGCTCGCGGAGCTCAGCGGTGATCGAGATAGGGCGAAAGCCTGTTGAGGATGTCGCTCGAGCTCGTGGAGCTCAGCGGTGATCGAGATAGGGCGAAAGCCTGTTGAGGGATGTCGCTCGAGCTCGCGGAGCTCAGCGGTGATCGAGATAGGGCGAAAGCCTGTTGAAGATGTCGCTTGAGCTCGCGGAGCTCAGCGGTGATCGAGATAGGGTGAAAGCCTGTTGAGGATGTCGCTCGAGCTCGCGTAGCTCAGCGGTGATCGAGATAGGGCGAAAGCCTGTTGAGGATGTCGCTCGAGCTCGCTGAGCTCAACGTTGATCGAGATAGGGTGAAAGCCTGTTGAAGATGTCGCTCGAGCTCGCGGAGCTCAGCGTTGATCGAGATAGGGCGAAAGCCTGTTGAAGATGTCGCTCGAGCTCAGCAGTGATCGAGATAGGGAGAAAGCCTGTTGAAGATGTTGCTCGAGCTCGCGGAGCTCGACGGTTATCAAGATAGGGCGAAAGCCTGTTGAAGACGTTGCTCCATCTTGTGGAGCTCAACGGTGATCGAGGTAGGGCGAAAACCTGTCGAAGATGTCGCTCGAGCTTGCGGAGCTCGTGTTGACTAATTCGAACGATTACCGAGCTTATCCTAGCCCGGTATGAAGTTAAACTCGACGCCGCATTAGGGCAGGATAGTTGGTTGTTATAAGATCGACAGTATCATCGTTTCTATAAGCTCGGCACTATCGTCATATTTATACGCTCAAATTCAAGGCAGCGGGTCCTTTGATTTGTAGCTAGACCAAGGGTAATTGGCCTATCGTAGCTGTGCCCGAGCTCGTACAGCATAGTTGGGTGGCAGAATATCGAGAAGGTTGCTCGGGGGCCACAAAGTCAATGGAAGTGCAATGTTAGCCCAAGAGCATAGTTGCAGAACTCCGACGTGTTAGACTGTGGGGGCTAGATGAGCCCAGGACCCCAACGCTATAGTCATATGATATACACGTTGGCGGGACTTGATTGTTCTACTCTTAGACGAGTCTTATATTCATAAGCTCGTCTAGAGTGGGGGGGGCTAGATGATGTAGCACAAAGAATAACTCGGTGGACCAGCCTGAGCGGTTAGCTCGATAGACCGGTCCAAGGAAGTTTAGAGCTAATTTATGGATACATGGTATTAGTTAAAGATATTCATGGAAGTTGGTGTATATCTACACAATTGTTGAGGAGTATTAGAGTTCTTGTTTATTGAGGAAACTCATTATCTTTGGGAGTAAGTCATTAAACCCTTTATAAATAAGGGACCGAATTCATTTTTTTAATCCTAAGCTCTGGAGATTACGTAAGATACACTATCAAAATATCTGTTTTCTAACTTGAGCGTTGGAGTGTCTACGCCGAGGCTCTGTCCCGGTGCTTTGCAGGTCAATCCGGTTCTTGAAGACGAAGGCGATCATGACGGCCGAACTCCTACGCAATCGAGATGAGGCGGTTCGACCGGAAACCTCGACGAGTCTATTATTTTTGGCTCATCATTCAGTTTTTAAAGCTGGGTTGTTATTGCTTTGAGTTAAGAAAAGAATAGAGGGAAGAGAGCATGTAATGGTGACCCTTTTTGGCCTTGTATTTGATCATGTGTTGAGTCGTGTATTATGTTTATTTTGCTGCCAGTATTCTCTATCTTCAGAGGATAAAGCTCAGTTTTAGATGTGTTAAACAACATGTTAAGTTTTATTAGGAATCTAAGCAAGAGAAGAAAGAAAAAGAGAGGAGCATGTTTGTGTGCTATTCTTGCTCTGTTTGTTCTGATATGCGAGATGCTGAGGCTGTTCTTATGTTTCGAGCCTTAGAAGTTATCCGAGAATTTTAGACGAGCTTAGAAAAGTTGGGTAGAATAAAAAGAGAGTTGTTGACCTTGTTGTGCCTTTATCTGTTGTATTTTTTTTTATTATTTTTTTTTTTTTTGGTGGCTTAACCAACTGAATT